ACACACACACACACACACACAAACCTTCGTCAATATACGTTTGCTGCAGTGCACAGCTGCAAAAAACTCACGAAAATTAAACAGTAAACTTTATAAAACATAATAAAACATAAATTCCTAAAAATCAGGATTAAAAAAAAATAAATAATATACTCTGCCTACGCCCATAAATACTTGCTTCTTCGGGGCCCCTTCTCGAGTACCTTCATTTCCCACAGTTTTAAGTAAATACAAAGAGGGATTTTGACTTGTCTTGCGCAAAAAAACAACCTTCGAAGCAAGCAGAGCAGCTCGATGGCGTTCACTGAAATTCTCATTCTCATGAAGACCTTCGATAACACTCAGGTAGTCGGCAACCTCGAACCAAGTTGGTGTCAAAACATCCCAGTCGTCCAGTGCTTCGATGATTAGCTGTTTTTCGCGCATCGATGATTGCTCACTTTTTAAAGCTAGCAAAAAAGCGCCTGCAAAAATTCACCACATAGTTTGATCCATTACATAGTGCCAAACAAACTTTCATAGTTTACATTTCTTAAAAAATTTCCAAAAAAATTAGAAATCGCATGATCTAATGGAAATCTTTAAGCGTTTTTTCGAATCTTTACATAAATGCTCAGGTACTACTTCGATTCAACAAAAGATGATAATGACAACTTTCTCATGATCTAATGACAATTTTTCTCTCATGATCTAATGACAATTTTTAGATGGTTTTTTCTCCCAAATCCTTGCACAAGTGCAATCCCCCGTAATCCATAAGATATCGCGATCGAGTAATGGCAAATTCTGGGACGATGTGATGAGCTAAAATGAAGTGTGACATGACATCTGTTCTCCGAAAGCCTTCACCAGTGCGCTAGAAAAAGAACTCAAAAGTTTGTATGTAACAGATGGAATCAGTGGCGGTGAGAAATTGCGAATGCTACTATTTGCGGGCGACATAGTCCCTGTCAGAGAAAGCCCTCAATCGCTGCAGAATCTGCAAAACGAGCTCGTAGCAAAAACATGGAAATGGCTGAATGTTGCAGAAATTTTAGAGACACAAACAATGAATATCCCTGGCTAGAAGACTGACTAGAAGAGGACGGGGGCCCCTGAAGTCTCACCGGTTACCTCGGCCAAGAAAGCCGTTACATTGCTAATCCTTCTGGGAGACAAAGCTAACGTTAGGGTCACTAAAATGCTGGTTATCAGGTGCTGAACATTGGTTAAAATAACTAGAATAAAAACTGCCAGCTATATAAACATATGCCAATGAATTTTATCTGATCCAAATGTGAATGCGAAAGAGTGTACCGACTAGATCTACCCATGCGTGTGTGTGTGTGTGTGTGTATGTATGTATGTATGTTTGTGCATGTATGTGTATGTATGCATATGTATGTATGTGTGTATGTATATGTATGTGTGCGTGTGTGTGTGTGTGCGTGTGCATGTATGTGTTCGTGTGTTTGTGCGTGTGTATGTGCGTGTATGTGTGCGTGTGTGTATGTTGTGTGTGTACGTTGTGTGTATGTGTGTGTATGCATTTAACACGTAATTTCACAAATCGATAGTGCACGCTAATTTCGCGCACCCAATGAACAAAAATTAACAATGGTAATAACTTACTTGCATCTTGCGCACCGCCTGGCTGATTGCGCCATTGATTCAGCAGATAAAGCGTCATTTCCTGAAAAAAGTTCACCCTGTAGCAAGCAAATAATCTGAAAGCAAAAAAACAAATTACAGCGCTTTGCCACCCATAAACCGAGCCTATTTCGCTACTCGTTGGCAAAATGAATTCCTGCTTTGTTACCAATCCTTTCCCAGAACGCCATTTTATGTGTTGCAATGATTTAGCATTAAAATTACGAAATGTAGCAAAACTGAAATTTTGAAAGCACAGAGCACCTCGCCATAGTTTAAGTTTCTTCGCTCCCTTAAACACGACAAACTGGACCTACTTCGCTACTCGTAGCAGGACGAATTTGACCTGTTTCGTTACCAATTCTTACAGCACATCGAACATATAAATTATAAATCACTATTAATATCATTTTATCAGATTTATTATATTGCCCACATGCCATTACTAATATCTAAACATTTTAATACAGCGGACTGAACCTAATTCGTTACTTGTTAGCAGGGCGAACTGGACCTGTTCTGCTATCAGCCGACAAGACCGAACACAAAAATTATAAACCCTTACTAAAATTTTGTTTAAGAGATTTATTATATTTCATACATGTCAATACTAATAACAACACGCTTAAACCAGCCAAAATGAGCCTACTTCGTTACTTACTGGCAGGACAAATTGTACCTGTCCTGCTAATAGTTGGCAAGACAAATCGGACATGCAAATCACAAACAACTACTAAAATCTTCTTTAACAGATTTATTATATTTCACACACAACACTCCTAATATCTACATCTTATAACACGTCGAAGTGGGCCTAATTTGTTATTCGTTGGCAAGACGAATTGGGCCTATTCTGTTACCAGTTGGCAAGACAGATCGAACATATAAATTATAAATAACTACTAAAGTCTTCTTTAACAGATTTGTTATATTTTATACATGCCACTACTAATATCTATATGTTTCAATACATCAAACTGAGCCTAATTCGCTACTCGTTGGCAAGAGGAATTGGACCTGCTCTATTACTAGTTGGCAAGACAGGCCGGACATATAAATTATAAACCACTACTAAAATTTCCTTTAACAGATTTATTATATTTCATAAATGCCACTGCTAATATCTACACGTTTCAACACGTCAAACTGAGCTTACTTCGTTACTAGTTGGCAGGACGAATTGGGCCTGTTCTGTCACCAGTTGACAAGACAGGCCGGACATATAAATTATAATTACTAAAATTTTCTTTAACAGATTTATTATATTCCACACATGCCACCACTAATAACTGCACGTTTTAACTCGTCAAACTGAGCCTACTTCGTTATTTGTTGGCACGACGGATTGGCCCTACTCTGCTACTAGTTGGCAAAACAGATCGGACATACAAATTATAAATAACTATTAAAATCTTCTTTAACAGATTTATTATATTTTATACATGACACTACTAATACCTATACGTTTCAACAAGTCAAACTGAGCCTAATTCGCCACCCGATGGCAAGGGGAATTGGACCTTTTCTGTTACCAAATGGCAAGACAGGTCGGACATATAAATTATAAATAACTACTAAAATCTTTAACAAATTCATTATATTTCGTACATGGCAGTACTAATAACTACACGTTTTAACACGTCAAAATGAGCCCACTTCGATACACGTTGGCAAGAGGAATTGGACCTTTTCTGCTACCAGTTGGCAAGACAAGCCGGACATAAATTATAAGTCATTACTTGTATCTTTTTTTAAAAGATTTATTATATTTCATCTATGCCATTACTAATACATTTCCTGTATATGGTTCTTCCCTGGTGTATAAAAAAATACAAAAAATTCTTTGAAAATAATTACTGTGTACAGGAACAGAAAAAAGAAAAAATACAAAAAAAAACACAGCTTCAAAAAAATCTTTATAGACAGCAAAAACTGAATACAAAAATTAATAGCAATT